GTAGCAGAGGAGGATGCAGCGCTGCAGAGGGAGGATACAAAGGCAGCAAAAGTGGTCGCAGCCCCAGAGCCGGCACCCCTCCGGCGAAGGCGGACGCGAGCGCCGCTCCCATTCCCGCAGCTGCCGCACCGACGCGGAACCGCGTCGTGATGAGCGCCGCAATGAACGCCGATTGTCCACCCCGACCGCAGCAGACGCGCCTCAGGCGGTTGAGGAAGTGGCGATGGTCGTCGTGGATCCCCTGCTAGCGCCATGCCGCCGTCGCACGATGATTCCCTAACGGTGAAACTGTCGCAAACAATGTGGCGGAGTCGGATCGCGCGAGCCCTCGCAGGCCGCTGCTGCGGCCCCCGTCTTGAAGACTCCCGCTCGTGTGGAAGGCCGCGCGACCGGTGGCCGCGACGACCAGCCCAGAGAAACCGTCAAACAGGACAAGGACGGCGAATGGGAGCGTCGCGATGGAGACACCCGTCGAGCGAAGAGCGACGCCATTGCCCCATCACCTGAACGCCGCGAAAGAGGCCCGCGTCCGCGAGACGAAACGGAAAAAGCGCGAAGACTCTCCCGAGGAATCAGACTCGCCGTCCTCTTCCAGCGACTCTGACTCGGGGGAGTCCTCGGCGTCAGAGTCCAACTACGACGGTCGGAGCACTGAAAGCAGCGAGCCTTGAGTCCTCGAGAGCGAGTCTGACGGCGACCGCAAGCGCGGCAAAAAGCGCGGCAGGGACAGGCGCGTCGGACGGCACAACGGTGGGAAGGATAAGGGGAGGGGGAGTAATGGCAAGAGGAAGAAAGGGGCGAGCAGAGGGAAGCAAGGACGTGGCGACATGAGGAAGCAAGGGAGAGGAGGGAGGACGGAGGGCCTAGGGCTAGGCCCGCCAAGCATGGGTATGCTCCGTACCCGGCTGGCAGCGACGATTTCGAGAGCGGCTCTGCGTCTGAAGGTCCGGTGCTCATTCGGCGGACAGATTACCGCGACAAAGTTTCCGGCGTATGCAACCGACAAGGCGTTTCAGGCGTTGACCATGTCCTGTCACACACCCATGGCCTGTCACACACCCATGTCCTGTCACACACCCATGGCCCGTCACACACCCATGGCCTGTCACACACCCATGTCCAGTCACACATCCATGCCTGTCACACACCCATGGCCTGTCACACACCCATGTCCTGTCACACACCCATGGCCTGTCACACGTCCATGGCCTGTCACACACCCATGGCCTGTCAGCCACCCATGGCCTGTAACACACCCATGGCCTGTCACACACCCATGGCCTGTCACACACCCATGTCCTGTCACACATCCATGCCCTGTCACACACACATGGCCTGTCACACACCCATGCCCCGTCACACACCCATGGCCTGTCACAAACCCATGGCCTTTCACACACCCATGGCCTGTCACACACCCATGTCTTATCACACACCCATGTCCTGTCACACACCCATGTCCTGTCACACACGCTTTGCCTGTCACCCACATTTGCCTGTCACACACCCATGTCCTATCAGATACCCATGGCCTGTCACACACCCATGGCCTGTCACACACCCATGGTGTCACACATCCATGGCCTCTCACACACACATGGCCTGTCACACACCCATGTCCTGTCACACACCCATGGCCTGTCACACACCCATGGCCTGTTACACACCCATATCCTATCACACACCCATGTCCTGTCACACATCCATGGCCTGTCACACACCCATGTCCTGTCACACACCCATGGCCTGTCACACACCCATGGCCTGTCACACACCCATGGCCTATCACACACCCATGGCCTGTCACACACCCATGTCCTATCACACACCCATGGCCTATCACACACCCATGGCCTATCACACACCCATGGCCTATCACACACCCCATGGCCTATCACACACCCATGGCCTATCACACACCCATGGCCTGTCACACACCCATGGCCTATCACACACCCATGGCCTGTCACACACCCATGTCTTATCACACACCCATGTCCTGTCACACACCCATGTCCTGTCACACACCCATGGTCTGTCACACACCCATGGCCTGTCACACACCCATGGCCTGTTACACACCCATGGCCTGTCACACACCCATGTCCTGTCACACACCCATGGCCTGTCACACACCCATGGCCTGTTACACACCCATATCCTATCACACACCCATGTCCTGTCACACATCCATGGCCTGTCACACACCCATGGCCTGTCACACACCCATGGCCTGTCACACACCCATGGCCTGTCACACACCATGGCATATCACACACCCATGGTTTGTCACACACCCATGTCCTATCACACACCCATGGCCTATCACACACCCATGGCCTATCACACACCCATGGCCTATCACACACCCATGGCCTATCACACACCCATGGCCTATCACACACCCATGGCCTGTCACACACCCATGGCCTATCACACACCCATGTCCTGTCACACACCCATGTCCTGTCACACACCCATTGTCTGTCACACACCCTTGGCGTGTCACACACCCTTGGCCTGTCACACACCCATGTCCTATCACACACCCATGGCCTGTCACACACCCATGGCATGTCACACACCCATGTCCTGTCACACACCCATGGTCTGTCACACACCCATGGTCACACACCCATGTCCTGTCACACACCCATGGCCTGTCACACACCCATGTCCTGTCACACACCCATGGCCTGTCACACACCCATGGCCTGTCACACACCCATGGCCTGTCACACACCCATGGCCTGTCACACACCCATGGCCTGTCACACACCCATGGCCTGTCACACACCCATGGCCGGTCACACACCCATGGCCTGTCACACACCCATGTCCTGTCACACACCCATGTCTTGTCACACACCCATGTCCTGTCCCACACCCATGTCCTGGTGGGCGCACACTACTAGCCTATAAAACACCCATCATGAAACTCTTCCATTATTCAACTTCGCTTTACCCTTCCCCTCTTCCTTCGCCTCTGTCCCGTCACGCCCTTTTGCTTCCCCTGTCGCCCCCTTTCACTCTCCCACCACCCATTTTCGATCTCTCGCGCCCATTTTCCAACCCCACCAATGCATTGCCTTGTACAGAAGCCATCTCCTAGGGAGCTCGCCCACTCCGTCCCTTCTCATGGCGAAATACGGAAAGATACACACAATGGATCATATGCTACATTGACATAGTAATTTCCTCTGTAGATTCGGCCCTTCTTTGGCACGTATGAGGACCGTCACAAAACAAATCGGGCCGGAAGTCACAAAATTGACACTTGGGTGACGCGTCAGTATATCCCCTAGAAAGACAAAAAATATCTTCAAGGGCAGTCCTCGGCATACTGGGAGTTTCATCGGGGAATGAACGCGGACACTCCTCGAGGATTGATTGGCGAATCCAAGCTGTACTGCTGACGATTCGTTTGTGATTACAGTACGCTGTACTCGTTATTGCGCAGTTTAAAGCCCACATTGTGATTGTATAACAATCTTGAATAATGTAAATTACATTTTGACTAAGTCGTATTAATAAACGGAACTTCCATACAATCACAAATATGTATAAGAACCTCTGCATAAGCACGTGTTTACATAAAACAATGTTGCGCCTAAACAAATGCACCTGCTTATTACACGCAATTGGCGCATAGGAAAAAACCGCATTATTCACAGCACATTAGTATCCTTCCTTTCGCCCGTTCTAATTAAACTGAATCGTCAGGCTAGATTTCAATACAGGTCAAACTGTTAGAATACAAGAATGACTAGAAACAAGGGTGAACAAGGGAGATATAGGGTTGGAGTTGTACCCTCTAAGAATACACCCCTATCTAGCCTATAACTTCTACATACAAATATATGTATAAGTTGACACACCTCCTAGGCTAGATAAGGGGTAGTGTTTGTTGTGATATAATGCATACTTAGCATTTCTGTAAGTCGATTATCGGTAGATAGTGTCGAATCCTACTGTAGAATATAAGTCTGTGGGATGACGTCAGCAAATAGCGCTCGTCATGAGGACAGTCGTTTCAGTCACGCGAATAGTCGCGTCTCTTCATTATCATTTAGGGCGCATAGCGCGATAGTGACGAACAGGTACATTAGCGAACAGGTACATTAGCGAACAGGTACTTTCCTAGAGCTATAAAATCCTTGTTATGCCTTTCTATTGTTCACCTTGAGATTTCAACTTTGAGACTTTAAACTTGACTTCAACTGAATTATATACTCAGGTTCATTCTTACAAAGACTTCCACTGTCTTACTTGTCTACCATTCCAGTAAAGATCCTAGGCTAACACTTGAGGTTTTCCAAGTGTTTGTGTTTGCAGATTCTACACTTAGTCTCGTGCAACACCTGTCAAATTATTACATGGTATGAGAGCTATCTGGATTTAAGACTACTGTCAACAATGACTGGGACATCACCAGCACCATCTACCGGATCCAGTTCTGGAACTACTGGAGTACCTGTCTCCACGACCGCCACTGGTCTCTCAGCCTCTGGACCGTTTCCACTGGCTTATGCGCACATCAGTATGCAGCAGCAGAATCCGCCTTCTGTCAGTACTCCAGGTGTTTCATCGACTGCACGTACAGCGCAACAACAACAAACACAGGCAACAGCACAACATCAGGCAACAGCACAGCAACAAGCAACACCACAGCAGTTTTCAACACAGTCAATATCGTCAGCGTTTAGTGGAATGAGCCTTGACGGCTCAAGTTACATGCGTGGAGCTTCAGCTCCAAGTACTGGCTCATTTGCCTTCTCGCCGTTTACGCAGCAGCCGCAGTCGCAGCAGCAGCAGCCCTTTTACATCTTCGGGCGATCACCTGCTCAGCAACAACAACAGCAACAGCAACATCAGCAACAACAGCAACAACTGCAGCATCCACAGCAATTCCAGCAACAGCAACAACCTCAACAACAGGGGATTATTTTTCAACCGCCAAATCTACTTACCAGCACGCAGATCAAGACTACTATACCTTTTAACGGAGTTGAATTTTACTCCTGGAGCTTCGAGTTTGAGCTTCTGGCGCAGTTCGCTGGGCTATGGCCGTTCTTCACCGGCGAGTTTACGTATCCTGTCATGGGAACACAACTGGAGCAACAGAGTTTCCTGCACGCCTCTCTCGGGGCGTATACGGTTCTAGTTCGGAACCTGTCGCCAAAGGAGCAGCTTGGCGTTCGATCTTTTCATTCAAGCTTCACGCCAGCTGAAACTGCATGGAACCACTTAAAGGGGGTGTACATGGCAAAAGACACAATAACAGCAAGTAAGATTCTTTCGCAGCTGACAAGTGTGCAGATGATGACAAACGAGAATGTCATGGATTACGTCAATCGTGTTCGCACACTACAAGATCAACTGGAGAAGAGTGGAGGATACTTCCCTCGTGAGATGTATCTCATGGTCCTTCTTGCTGGACTTGGTCCCGAGTGGCGACAGACGCGCGCCTTCTTGCGCATGAATCCGAACCTCTCAGAAACCGAAATTTCGTCGTATCTTCAAGCGGAACAGCAAGATCTTGACCTGCAGTCACAACGCAATCAGAAGAAAGGATTACAATTAAGTTTTTACTCAAATCCAGAGCCACAGCAACGACTTCCCCCGAAATATCCCTTCTGCCATTTCTGCAAGAAACCAGGACATACTTACCAAACTTGTCGCAGTCGTTGTCAAAACCGTCGCAGCACTTCGCAACCATATCATCGTTCGCAGCAGTTACCGAAGCCACATCAGCAAATGCAGCAGTCGACGTCCCAGACGCAGCAGATGCCGCAGAGTACACCGCCATCACAGCATCGTCCTCCGGTCTTTGCATCTGCAACATCAGGAAAAGGGGTTTTTGGATGTGTTACAACAGTTGATATTTCAGATACAGATTTCGAGACACAACTTGAAGAAACCACCAGTGCAGAGGGCATTCCCTTACCGCAAGTTTACGCTAACCTTGCTCGAGTCATTTCAGGACCCAATACTTGGTATCTCGACAGCTGTTGCGGTTGGCACATGTGCTCCGCTGAAACAAGCGTCATCACCAACCAGTGTCCTCTTCATCGTCCGATAACAGTCACAGTTGCAAACGGACAAACCATTATGGCAAGATCTATTGGGAGTGTAATACTTGAATCAGTCGACACGGGATATTCCTTACACGTTACCAATGTTCCTATCGTCGCCAGCCTTGGTTTCAATCTTCTCTCCACAGCTCAACTCCTGGCACACAAGATTCGCACACAAGGGAATTGTGATACAATGGATCAGGAGTTATGGCACAGTTTATCAAATACTTACCTCGGTCGCGCTGCTACTCAACATGGAGTATCAGTTCTTCAGTTCACAGCACAGGGCACCTCTGGTGATTCTGAACGCGTCCTTGGTCTCGGTCCCTGGGGTCACCCAGAAGAAACATATTATATACACGTGGATATTGTTTTTCGGGCAACTACTGTACCAACAGCTTCTAGAACTGTAGCTGCCGTTCTTACCGCACTGGATACTTGGGAGTTTAATACCGCCGATGAAGGCGCCAATGCTTGGCGAACCTTCTATAACACCCGTGCAGCCTTCCAAGGAACTCCAGCTCCACTTTGGGGAGAAATCAGTGGACTTGCAGCTGATGAACCCGAAGTCGTCGAGGAAGCCGTGAAAGAAGAAGTCGCCGAGCAGCCGAGTCTTCCAGTAGCTGTCGCAGGACCATCTGCCATCAAACTGTAACATCAAAAGAAGCAGTATCAGAAATTGCAGTCGCAAATACAGCAGACACTTCAAATGTTCAGTTACCCCTTACCCGTTTCGTCGAAGGGGAGATTGACATGTCTCCAGCTCTTTCTCCTTTCATCATTTCTTCATTTTATACTAACGCCGACTTTTATCTGCGATCATCAGGACACAAAGCCACATAAGAAATTTGGCACCAACGGTTAGGACATCCATCGCAAGGGATTTTAAATCATTGAATCCGAGCAGCAGTTCTTGATAAAAACAGTCTTCTCTTACCTGACGGCACGGAGATGAAACCGCAGTCTCGCCCAACGGTCTGCACCACGTGTCCGGTCACCAATCTTACCCACGACCCGTTTTCGAGTCATTTTCCTGGCTCCACTCGTTACAAACTGATGCAGAAGGTCTACAGCGATATTCTTAACTTACCTGAAGCAGGACCTAAAGAAGAGCTGTACGTGATTACCTTCATCGAAGCATCTACTCGATATGTTTGGACAGCAAACCTTCCTGCTCGACATCTCGCCCATTCAGTCTTCGTCGCATGGCTCGCCGTCGCTGAAAGAGAGTCTTGAGCAAAACTGCAAGAATTCCAGAGTGATGGCGCAGGGGAGTACACGAGCAACGCTTTCACAGACTACCTCCAGACACTCGGCATCAAACGGAAGCAGTCACTGCCACATGCACACCAACAGATGGGGGTAGCAGAAAGGATGAATCGGACTCTGCAGGAGAAGATGCGTGCTCTGCTGACGCAGGCAGCCCTTCCTCCTCGCTTTTGGCCGTATGCGATGGACCACGCGGTGCTGTTACACAACCTGCTGTCTTCCACATCACTGCCCGAGTTTTCTTCACCTCACCTGCAGTGGACACGAACAGTGGGAAGTACAAAACTTTTACGAGTTTTTGGGTGTGTCGTGCAGTTTCGTCCTCCAACTGCAGCACTCGGCAAATTTTCCGAACGGGCAAAATGGGGGGTACACCTCGGCATCGAAAAATAGTATCATGCATGGAAGATTTTGGATCTTCGTTCAAACCAAATTGTCCCTTCACGTGATCATCTCTTCTATGAAAGACTCACCTTGCCAGTTTTTCGTGCCCACCAGGCAGCAGCTGCAAACCCTGCCAGGCTGTTCGAAGGCTCGCGTGCATTTGCAACTGACGAAGCCGAAGCTGATGTACAGGACGAGGCGGTTTCTGAAGCTTCCGAAGCTACCGCAACTGACATTCCCGAACCTGTCACGTCAACAGGCATCCCGTAATTTATTCCCCTCGCTGATGTTGACCCGGATGACGTTCCCGAAGTCCACCTCAGCTACGAACGCGATCGCCAACAGCAGCCGATGCCACCCGTCTCCGACGAAGCAGTTCGTGTTACACCTAACGAAATTGGGGGGGGGAGAAGGGTCAGAAGAAAATTTCGCAGGTGCAAACGAAGAACGTCCGCGTTTTACAGAAACTGGCTTACAGATACTTGGATTCGCAGTCGCAGTACAGTACAACGACAGTAAAATATCTTAACCGAAAACCGTTCGACAAGCTCTTACGAGTCCTTACCGCGAAAAATGGCGCAAAGCCATGGACAGAGAGCTAGCAGCTCTCAAGACTCGCGGCACATGGGAGTTAGTACCGACATCAGAAGTAAAAGGGAGGAAGGTACTTGCCGGGAAGTGGGTCTTCCGTGTCAAGACTAATGCAGATGGGTCGTTTGAGAAATTCAAGGCGTGATGGGTCATCCGCGGGTTCGAGCAGACTTACGGCATCGACTACGAGTTAACTTTTGCTCCCGTCGGTCGACATACGAGCGTTCGGATTTTACTCTGTGTCGCCGCCTGCCGCAATCTACGACTTCGACAAATCGACGTGGCAAACGCATTTCTCTACGCACCCGTCGACACACTCATTCTGGTAGAGTACCCACATTCGTATACTACTAACCCACCGAGCGTATGCCGTCTCCGAAATTCGCTATACGGCATTAAACAGGCACCCCGGCTATGCGCAGTACCTACAGTACATTCACAGCTACTCACTGCTGGATTCCGTCAACTACCGCATGACCAGGGGATGTATCTTTTAACTGACAGGAGCAACTATATTTTACTTGTCGCCTACGTCGACGATATTCTCTACGTCAGTACTACCGACTCGCTCGCCAATACCTTCATACTGAAACTACAGAAAAATCTACAGCTTACCGTCTCCGAGACAGTCTCACAGTTTCTCGGTTTAAATATTACCTACTCACCGACGTCTATTCACCTCACCGCTTCGAAGTACGCAGCGACGCTCGCTGCCCGCTTCAACCTCACTCCTTCTACAGTCACTACACCGTACCGATCACTACCGACAGACTACAAACCGAATACTACACCGTTGAGTCTAACCGACCTACAGACCGATCAACAGCAGTTAGGCTGTCTACTCTTCACCGCTGTTACTTGTCGTCCAGATCTAGCGTACGCGGCTAGTCAACTCGCACAGTTCCTACGCCGTCCTGAAGAAGAACACCAACTCGATCTTCTTCGCGCGCTTCAGTATTTCGTCTCGACTCCTGACGTCGGCTTAGTCTACAACGTCGTCGGCTGTAAAACTCTATACCTACACCGTTTCGTCGGCGCCGACCACGCTGCTGATACTACTAATCGGCGCTCGCGTGCTGGATTCATCTACCGCCTTGAACCTATCGGCCCTATTTCTTGGAATTCGATGAAGCAGGAGCGGATTGCTCTCTCCTCTGCTGAAGCTGAATTTATCGCTGTCTGCACAGCAAAACGCGAAGGACTTTACCTGCAGGAGCTCTTGGAAGAAGCAAAGTTGACGACAAGTACTCATATCACTTTACAGTGTGACAACCAGAGTGCAATTCGCATCGCGCATCAACCTGGCTTCGTGAACAGGACGAAACATATTTCACTACGTTATTTTTTCGTCAAGGATGAAGTCGAGAAGGGGAGAATGCGATTGGTCTATTGTTCGACCAACGAAATGGCTGCCGACTTCCTCACGAAGAAGCTGACACGACAGAAGTTTCAGTACTGTAACAAGCTTTGCGGGATCTTCAAGAAGTGACACTGTCGAACTTCCAGAAATGAAGGGGAGTGTTGTGATATAATGCATACTTAGCATTTCTGTAAGTCGATTATCGGTAGATAGTGTCGAATCCTACAGTAGAATATAAGTCCGTAGGATGACGTCAGCAAATAGCACTCGTCATGAGGACAGTCGTTTCAGTCGCGCGAATAGTTGCGTCTCTTCATTATCATTTAGGGCAAATAGTGCGATAGTGACGAACAGGTACATTAGCGAACAAGTACTTTCCTAGAGCTATAAAATCTTGTTATGCCTTTCTATTGTTAACCTTGAGATTTCAACTTTGAGACTTTAAACTTGACTTCAACTGAATTATATACTCAGGTTCATTCTTACAAAGACTTCCGCTGCCTTACTAGTCTACCATTCCAGTAAAGATCCTAGGCTAACACTTGAGGTTTTCCAAGTGTCTGTGTTTGCAGATTCTACACTTACTGTAGTCCCCTGCAACACCTGTCAAATTATTACAGTGCTGAGCAAGAAACACGCAGCTTAGGGTGGCACTACTAGTCCAAACTCTGAGACAGGGGTCCGAAAACCAGTCAGCAAGAGTATAAACAAGACAGGAGCAAAACAGGGCGGCACTACTAGTCCGGCCACTGGAAGAGAAGCCACAAGGCCAGTCTGAAAGGTATATATAAAGAGGAGTACACAATCAAGGTCCTAGCAAGTGAGAATCTACAGGAACTAGACCAAGCTACAAACAGTGCCGCTGATGATCCTTAGGCGCAAGCGCTTTAGTAAAGATATCAGCTATGTTGGCACCAGAGGCCAAGTGTACTACGCAGGCCTGGCGACGCTGTTGTAGCTCGCGCAGGAGGAAGTACCGCAGCTGGATGTGCTTCGCTCTGCCCTCAAGTCGAGGCTCTTGACAAAGGAGGATCATGGTCCTGTTGTCAGCGTTCAGAACCGGGGCAGAGCTAGGCCGCTCACCTAAGTCGGTGAGCAAGAAGGCCAGCCAGCAGAGCTCCTGTGCCGCCATGGCACCGGCGTAGATCTCAGACTCACAGCTAGACTGGGCAACAGACGAGGAGCGAGTGGACCTCCATGAGATGGCACCTGAACCAACGCTAAAGCAGTAGCCCTGAGAGGACCTGAGGGTCTCAGCGTCGTCTGCCCAAGATGCGTCTGTGTGCCCAGTAAGGACCACTGGCCTACGTCCTCCCAGCACTAACCCCGTGCCCGTTGTACTTGCTAGATAACGCAAAACTCTCTT